GGGATATTTATAAAGTTACAAGCACAACCTTCTAATCTGGGTTCATCTGGGGGTGAATTTATTAAAGCTGCCAAATCAGATTTACAATCTGGGTTCAACTTATGGGACATACATAAAATTATGAATATAATTTTACATACTGGGTGGGCTTAACTGGTAAATTATTATGTTAAACAATAAATATTTAGTCAGAGCTCAACTGGTGATATATAAAGCTACAAACATAAATTTGTAATATGGGCTCAAGTGGCAGTAAAATTTTTAAACTACCAACATAAAATGATAATCTGGATTTCAGTTGTAGGACATGTATAAAACACTAACATAGCCTGGGTTCATTTGGTGAGATATTAAGTTACGAACAATTTTCTGATCTGAGCTCACCTTGTAATATGTTTATTAAGTAGCAGATACAAATTCAGTTATACTGTGGGCTTAATTGGTAGGATATTTCTAATCACTGAAAATAAATTTAATGTGTTGCTGTTCACCCATCACTGATAACGAAGACAATTTAACATTAACAAAAAGGTCAGTGATTGTGAGTACAACAACAAAAACAATGGTTAATTCAGATTTGAGCTCATAAATTCTTGAGCAGGGCATACAACAGTTGGAAAAGACACTAGAGGTGGGATTTGCTAAAGTTCTTTCCAGCCTGCCTGTGTTTATGCCAGTGCAACCTCTGCTGCCTCAAAAAGGCAGATCTGTCTTGGGAAACAGCCTTCCATGTTTCTGTGATAAAGCTGAAAGACTTTAGAGCAGTGTAAAAGTCCCTATAGCAGTTTTTCTGTCTGCCTTGGGATCTTTTCCCCATGCTCAACGGTCTGGCCTGTGGGCCATATAACTAGGCCATCGGATCTTATATTCTTCAGTAAAATTCACAGCATACCACAGGACTCTATGGAAACTATATTAATTAAGATAACCAAAATAATTATAAATAGTTTGGGCTCACCTGGCAAAATACTTATTAAATTCTCTTTTGCATTATTATTTTTTAAATTTGTTTAACCCTTAATAGAGCACATGCCTTTCAAAAAAAAAAAAAAATGCCAAGTTGTCCTATCTTTTGTTAATTACTACAGCTCCCTCCATTATATATATATATATATATATATATATATATATATATATATATATATATATATATATATATATATATATATATATATATATATATATATATAGAGAGAGAGAGAGAGAGAGAGAGAGGATATAGATAGATAAATATACACACACACACATATATATATATATATATATATATATATATATATATATATATATATATATATAATGGTTCATCTTGGTCTTTAATTTTTTTCCTTTGTGTTTATAGCTATTCCTTTATTTTTGTTCCCACCCTGTATGTTCCAGTAAAGGGACTTTCTATGTATACTATTATCAGGTTTCCTCATGTGTAACACCCAGAACAAGTGATTTCATCATCTTCTAATTGATATTTGAATGTGTTTCCCTATCTAAGTGATTCTGTGATACCATTATAGTTCTCTTGCACAGACACCAGTGAATAAAACGTTAGATTACTGCCATACAATATTACTAATTTATTAACCAGGCTAAACTGTCTACAGACTTAATAAGTTCCTCATGTTGAGCATTCCAAAGTCTTAAGTTCACTGCTGTAGACACCACTAGTTTCCATTCATCTGTGATTGGCCTTCTCTTTCCAGTTGGTCATTCCAAGTGTTTAAACATCTGCTTTAGTGACCACATCCAGATGGCACTTTGTGTACGCAGGTTTTGTCTCTGTTACCTGCCCTTTTCTCTTTATATCCAACCATTGTGGTCTATTAGCCCTCATAATTCCAGTAATTATCGGTAATCTAAATAGATAGATTATGCATTTAGTTGTTGCTTCTCACTCTCCACTACTTTCATTTTGATGGGTTTACAGATTCATCATCAGACTGTCCTTAAAAGTCTGCAATAAGGCTTTATATGTTTGTTGGTTTTAAGTTATGCTCCTTCCAAGTTTTAGAGCCGTATAGGAGAATTTGTCTTATCTGTGTTTTATATAGTGTGATCTTGGTGTTATGAAACAGATCATTTGATATCAGCATTTCCTAAAGGACACAGTATACTTAATTTTCAGACTGTACAGTTTATAAGTTACTATTCCTATTTATGTTGCATTTTAGGATCATCAGGCGGGATATTGTACGATGATGTAGGAGAAGCAAGAACATTGTTTTTTCTTTAAAAAGGATCAAAGCTGCATAAATGTATCACTCCATAAAAATGGAAAGGAAACCTTGATGAAAACAAAAGGTTGGACAGAAAGGTTTATATACCTACCATACCATAAACTTGCATGACAACACCTGTGCTACTGATATAGTTAATGGAAAACATTTTATGAAAATTTAAATAGTTTCAAGTCAACACTGAAAATCACAATCAAGGCAGTGATTATAATTATTAAATAGTTATACAGTAGTACACAATTTTCAAACAAATTTTGACCTCGATCCATGAACAACATAAAGGTAAAATTATACTGTATATTTGATATTACATATATTTTTTTTCATGCATTTATAAAAAAAAACTTTCTGAGGGGGGCGAATGGATTCATGGAATTTGCATTAATTTGAAACAGGAAAAACAGCTTCAGTTCACGAACATTATCGGCCGTGAACGGAGTCAAAGAACAACTTAAATTTGTTACCTTTGTACCACATTATGTAATGAGCAAACAGAATGTCATAGTAAACAGAATATGTCACAATACAAACATGCTGTGTATTCTCAATAAAAGACTGGCATCTTTATATGTTAATTAATAAAATTGGCAGAAGCGTGTTACTGTTCATATTTTAACTCATAATACATTTGTTTTATTTATTCTTTCTTTTGTACTTGTTAGGCGTCGCAGTCTTAAGATGATTTTTTTTCGCTTCATATGCCGTGATGTTATGAAGTCTATTTGTCCGTGACTTTCAATTCTATTCTCTCTTGGTCTTCCCTGCCTCTTGGTGTTTTTTTCATGTTGTACTGATGCTGGCATCGTTGGTTTCATCCTCATAGTTTTATTCTTTGCTTCTCAATAAATTTTATGGTTCCTAGTTTTGTAATCACATCGTTTCTCACTCGATCTCTTCTGGTTTTATTCGCAGCCATTCTCAAACATCTCATGTCACAGGTGGTTAGTCTTCTCTCGTGTTCTTTTGTTAATGTCCAAGTCTGACATTGATACCTAATGTCGGTATAAAGATTGTATTATATTGGATGTAAAGATACTTCCCAAGAATTTAAATTCTTGCACTTGTTTTAGTATTTTAGTATGTGATCTAGAATCTTTATGTCGATGGTCTGTTGCTCTCTACTTATGCTCATGACTTCTGTCTTTTCAGTATTGATCTTCATATGATGCTTGAGGCAACTGTCGTGTAGTAGATTTATGTGGTCTTGCAGCTGTTTACTATCACTGTGAAATATGCATTGATCGTCGGCAAAGAGCAGCTCATTGAAGTCCTCCTGTTTATCGACATCTGTTGGTGTTATGTCTATTTTATTAATATTGTCCATAAATATTATGAAAAGTAAAGGTGATAATACACAACCTTGTCTTACTCCTGATGTTACTGGGAACCAGTCTGTGATGCCAGCTCTTGTTCTAATGGCGCTTTCACTTTGTCTATAAATAGCCCTAACACAATCTAAATTTGTTCCATTTATACCGTAGTTTTCAAGAACTTTCCATAATAAATTTCTGTTTACTCTATCTATTTATTACTGTTCGTAAATTAACTTTTTTTTTTTACTGTTAATATTTTGTATTTACTTTTCACATTTTAACTGTTTTTACACTTTAACTGCTTTTACTGTTCATATTTTACCTGTTTTTATTCACTATTCAGGACTGAGAATTTACTGCAAATATGTTAAATTATTTTCTGTTCGTCATTGATATATTTATAGTACACATATTTAATGTTTTTACTGTACACATTTTTAGTTTCAACTGGCCATATCTTTTTAACTATTCAAATTTTTAGCCATTACCACAACACTGGCACAAACCACAAGCTCAAATGTCTGTAATTCGTTTTCTGTGCAGAATTCTTTTCATGTCAAAGAATAAACTGTCAGCCAAAGATACAACTATCTGTTTTTTAAATCTGTGTATCAACCCAGTCTAGAGTGGGTACCAGTTACAAACCTGGGAAGTAAATGAGGTCGGCATGATGCTGACCCCATCACCCATTAAGTGCCGAATGGTCTGTAAAATACAGGTAAAGTTTCATATGCCCAATTGTGGATTTTATAAATCAATATCAAATATTCACATGTTGTGAGTGAACAGGAAAATTTCAGATTTTTAACCAAAGCATGAATAACTTGGAAACAAATACAGATACCATTACTAGTGATGGGGAAAGACAGCTGAATGTTATATTTTCAAAATAAAATTATAGTCTCTCAACAATGATAATACACTGGGACCTCGCCACATAATATTGTCAATGACAGCAGTGGAAAGACATACCCATATCAGCCAACCTACACAACAAATTTACATTACAATTGTAAGTTGAGAGAGGAACGACTGGTCGAATAGTTAAGAATTAATGTATGCGGGAGACCCAAGTTTGATTCCTCAGCAACTGTTACTGTAGTATGTACCACAGCAACCTATTATTTGTGTATACTTTATTTAAAAAAATAATTTATTGAAATGCCAGTCTTCTAGACAACACAGTAATAAATATTATATTAAGAAATATAAGCCTTTAAAAGGCATAGGATCTTCAGATAGTGTGCATACAAAGAGATATCTGATATTTATAGAGTATTATATACTATACAAATAATTAAGATATAAAACTAAAAATCTATCAAACATTTACAGCTATACAACACAGCCAAAAAATGGACTACCAAATAGAAGCAACATCAACTACACAGACAGGCAAAGGCACATATAATCTGTTAAAATAATAGTGCTAACTTGTAAAAAAAAAAAAGATTACCGAACATATGTCATATAGATAAATCTATATTTAGACATCTGTCTGCATGAAAAAGAAAATATGAATGTGTCTGTCAATATCCTATAGAATACATTATATCTACATTAAAAAAATATTAATCACACCATTCTGATTTTAACAGAAGTGATCATTTAAAAAAAAAAGTGAAGCTGTTATCAACAAGTAACTACATTTAATACCAACTAAGACTAGATTTACTTGTCAAAGAATCAACATCATTGCACACTGGGCATACCCACAGGTGCTCCGTCCCCCACAGCACGTATCTTAAGGTATAAATGCTAACTGGTCCCGTAGCTTACTGATTATACACACGTCCTTCTCTTCCTCTCACATACGTCCTTCCTTGCTAGATCCACACTTAATTCCTCGTTCACACATTCTTGCACATATTATTTCATCTAATCTCGTGTCTTCTCATCGTATTTGTTCATGTCTTTTCCTTTCCCTCCACAAAGTTTTCTAGTCAAACTTGATCTTTTTGTTTAGTTAATTCTAGATATAGAAGGGCTGTCATGATAATTTAATACTGTACAGTTAAGTTCATGTTCCTAAAACACTGTACATAAAAGGAATGCAGTGAAATATAACTACCACAGTTGAAACCACTACATACATAAAAATAAAGATGACTGACCCTATGATCAACAGCTAAAACTACTTAAAAATATATTTTCCTGAATTTCAAAATGTCATATCCTATTTAATCAAACTGGGTTATCATCATCCTCCAATAGTAATGCTTGGGCAGAGCTCTGTCCTCATAACAGTCTTTGGAAATTTCCATTCTTAAGCCAGTTGCTCTGCCTTTTGCGGTCATCAGTAAACATTGTCTTTACCTCTTCAATCCATCTACATTTTGGTCTTTCCCTCTTTCACTTCCCCATAAAATTCCCTCCATAACTATCTTCACCAGTCCTTCGTGTCTTTTCCTTCTTCATCAGCCACACCACTGTTAATGACGGAAAATACACATCAATGTTACATTTTCAAAATAACACTGTAATCTCTTTAGATTGATAATATATTGGGGCCTACATTCAATGACAAACAAGTCATCACCCAATTCCTTTCAAGCATTTTTAGTCGTATTCACAATTGGCTGGCTGTTGTGCCTGAAGCTTTTTATGGTATGAGTGCCAGCTGATATACAGATTAACTCTGCTGGGACCAGAGGACAGTTAAATTAAGTTTCAAATCAATGCATGATTCATTCCTTAATATCAAAAGTTAGTGATCATCACCGATCAAGAATATGTGACTAAATCAACTTTCAATAACTATTTAAGATCTTACCTTCTAACAATAGGAGAAAACACTAGTCTTGTGTCAAAACCAAACACCATCAGGATAATCACACCCTAGAAATTATAAACAAATGACAATAATTATATATATATATATATATATATATATATATATATATATATACATACACAGGAGTCACCATGGCGGAGCCGCTAGATCGAAAGGTCGAGGGTTTGCTCCCTGGTGGAGCCGGACTTTTTTTTTAAAAATGACCTTGGCTTCCAGGTGGACACAGCCTTGAGTGGGAACCGGGTGCAGTCCCAGGAAGTAAAAACATCACCCATCTTGTGCGGATTGATCTATAATATATAGGTCTAGCCCTATATTCTCTATATGCCTAAAGGCTTGGAAAAGGGTCCTTTATTTTTTTCTTTTTGATTTACATATATATATGCATGTGTATACACATAGATGCATATACGCACATAACATGTTTTCTGTATACTTCTTATAGTCCGTGTCGTGTGGTGTTGGTAGTCATTGATACACAACCTCGCATATTTTTTATCAACTCTGACACAAATGATTCTCCACGCTATGATGTCAAACTGTCCGGCATCTTCTCTCTCTGTCTCCCTCTGACTCTCTTCCCCTGTAACTTTCCCACTGTTAGGATGTACTCCAGTTCTCTTCTTCTCATTACATGATCAAAGAATGTAGATTTTCCTCTTTTGATGAAGGCAGCAGTTGTCTTCCTGAGTCAGTTTCTTACAAGACCTCTTCATTACTCATTTTGTCTGCCCAGAGTATTCTCATCATTCATTTATAAAACCACTTCTTCACAGCTTCCAAATTATTTCTCATTAACCCTACCAGACCTGAGGCCCTGAACCTAACCTTCCCTATAACCTGAGCTCCTGGGCATTACCGCGAAAAAACCAACATGAAATACAAAAAATATTAGTTACATGCAAACAAGTGGCTAGAATATGATGAAACTTGGAGACAAAGAAAATAGGCTTACCTTTTATCTAGCGCCAATATTCCACCTTTGTGTGCGAATTCACTCATCAGGATCAACTTTGTTTCACAAAGTGAACACCAGATGTTGCCGTTTGATGGACACACCCCCTCCTCCTACTATCGATCTACTTCAAAATTGTCACTTCAAGAACGTATTCTTTATGAAATTATCACAGATAATAATTATATATATATCACAGAGTGTGAATAAACCAAAGTATCGATCACCTGTTGGACTGTGAAAAGCCTAGAACTTGATTCATCAGCCGCTCGTTTCATTGTGAATTTTCATAATATTTCCACGTAAAACAACACAAATATAATCCACACATGCGGACAGACATTTGCAATGTCTAACAAAGAGGATTGATAACGACTGGGTGGTTATTTTTAGTCTGTGACGCATCATTTTCCCGTACTACGCAAAAAGCCGAAAATTAGGGCCAGCGGTATAGAGACTGGTTAAGAAATCCCCGGTAAACCGGGCCAGCGGTCTGGTAGGGTTAACAGCGATTTACATTTTAGGATAGGATGTAAATAGCTTCTAAGAATGATCTTTCTTGTCTTGACAAAGAAAGTCTGCACAGAATAAGACTTCATTTTGTAAAACGCTGCCTGTGCTTTATCTTCTTTAATACATCTTCCATCTGATGTTATTTATTAGAGTACCCAAATAAGGGCAAAAATATCTGAAGCAAATGTGACTGACCAAATCAGTTTATAGCATCCATTCCAAAATTACAAGTCTCTAGCCACATTAAAATTTTCAATGATGAATTAATTACTGTGCTTCTTTTTCTTACAGCACCTGCCATATGGCACTGATCATGTATCCCCATAGCTGCCTGTCATTTACAATCCATAATTTATTTTCCTCCTGACTACTGTCTACCAATGGAGTACAGGCCTTCAGCCAACTCAAGGCTACCCTTTCTGATCTTGTTCCTGATTGGTTTCCTTCTTCCTCTCCATCTGCGGTCACCCTGAAAAGGGCAAGTGGGTTGGTTTACAGCTAGGCTGCAATATCTGTGTTTTTCAGTCCAACACAAGTGATTTCAGCAAACTTAATTATCTGCACCTTTTACAATGTCATTGTTAACACTTTCACCTCAAACGTCTTAAATCTGGCCTTTCTGGCGCTGACATATTCCAGTAAAGGTTCCAAAACGGCCTGTCTGCAGTGACCTGTTTCCAAGAAGCATAGTTTAATGTTGTTGGTTCTGTTTGTGCCTACGCAGCATTAAGTTGGTCCAGATTTATTAAACACAGCATTTAGGAGGGTTTCCTTGTGAACCAAATAGCTTTTTAAAAGCCACACTGATGTCAAAATTGTCCCATAACATCAGCATTAAAGGTTGCAAGGGTCAAGGCATGAGTTACCCGACACATGTTTCTAGCTGGGCCCCAGGAAATGTATTCCATTCAATGCTTCACTATGTCCAATTTACTTATAACTTCCTCTATATATGTTTTCTTGTACATTATTTTTTTAAAGGGTTTTTGAGGTGGAATGCAGACGAGTTTGCATTGGTTTTGACAATGGAATGGAGCAACAACAGTTCAGAGAGCAAATGTAAACTACTGAATGAGAAACTGCCTAGCAAAACAGACCCAAAAAATGCCAGGGGTGCTTCCTTTAGAAGCTACATAACACACAAATGCTTTTAGCAACACATGGCTGAATAATTTTCAGACACATATATCTCAGTGCTATAACGTAACATTTCTGGCATTTTCTTTTTCACTTTCGTGTTATCGTGGCATATTCCAGTTATCCTCTTCTTATAACTTGAAACAACAGTCCATTCTCAACTTCTCATGTGAGTAATCAATTTTCTTCATGAGTTAATTTACTAAGACACCTTTACATTTCTCTTACCTGTCCATAGTTAAACACACAGTCTAGAAATTCTATCTCCACATAAATTCCTGTCGGTTGGTTGTGAAATATGCGCCAGATGCACAAAAACAAGCCCTGGTGGGGAAAAAAGCAGCAATGAAATATGTTACCATGATCAGTTAAAAGCCGGTGACTGTCACATTATAGAAGTGATCTTCACCAAACTTTAAATGAAACCATTTTGTTCAAAAGGAAACCCTCTATATACTATTTTCTACTGACAAACAGAACCCAGTGCAGTTTACTAGGCTTCTCTGGGCAGAAAACAGAACAAACGCTAGGTAAGCTACCATTACTGGATTGAGCCAGAGTCATAAATGCAGGGTTCACAGCTTCTCAGGGCGTTAGCGTTAAAATCAATTAAAGTTTAAAGCTAATAATTTGAAGTATGGCACTCAGAGCATGTTCTTCTTCATCTTCGGTAGCTGGCACAGAGTCTAGTTCTAATGTGCCTGTCTTACCTTTTCCCTGAGCACTGACTGACTGGAAGATCCTTGGGTCTTTTTGTTTTTGTGTGTATCATTTTTTTATAGAGCAAGGTGATATGTTGACTTTTCTTTTCTTCACATGATCTAAAAGGGCCTTTGCATCACCTGCATCATCATGCTCATCCAGTGATAGAGAACCATCCAATCAATATGCTTTGCTTTTTTTCACAACACACCACAATCAATTACACTTTCTCTTTCCATTATTATTTTTTTAGAGGAAAGAAAGGAAAATCTGTTGACGGAAATTAATATCTTAAGGCAGAAAATATTTGTATAAATAATAACCCCCAGGGAAGCAGTGGCAGTGTAGGAGCTAGATGCTTGCCTGCCGACCCAAAAGGTCTAGGGTTCAAATCCCCAATGTTTTTTTAAATCTAAAATGACTTCCAGATCAATCCAGCCCAAATGTGTATCAGGTAAAGTCCTGGGAAGTAAAAGTGGCCAGCAAGATATTGACCAAATCACCTTAGTGGGAAGTGGTATATAAAATATAGGTCTAATACTATACACCCAATATGCCTAATGGCATGGAAAGGGTGCTTTACTTTTTACTAATAACACCCCAGAGAACTCATTTATAATTCATAGATATCACACATCCTTAAATAAATAATCAACTTTCTGTAAATAAGGATACTGTTTTAAATTAGATTTAAAATCTTTCCTTCTACCCTGGATTCGCTGTATTCAAGCATGCATGTAAGCTGAGGTATCAGTGTAAATGCCTTTGCAAATTTACCCTGCCCTTACATTATAATATCTCAATTTACTTTAATGTATGTGAAATATTCTGATATCTTATTAAAATGGTCCTCTTCTTCTACTCCCCATCTGTCAGGTAATTCTCTATATTACTGGAATGATTGTAAGTAATTTATTGTTAATTAATTTAGTCCTTTTCCAGGTTTATGCTCCAAACAAAGGTCCAGAGTTAAATTAGAGTGTCAGAGTCAGTGTTAGAGTTGAATAGTCAAAGTCTGGTATTAATTTTCATTTAGTTTGACATCCACCCCAGATTTATTATTATAAAAGCTCTTCTTGCCTTTTGTGTTCTTACCTTTACATCTCTGCCTGTTCTACAATTTCTACATTTCTGGCTTTCTTTTTCTGTTTGCTGTGTTCACTTTCAAAAGGGAAGTCGACATGTTGTGGTTAACAGCTAAGCTGCACTATCACGCCTTTCGGCTCAATACATCCGATTTCCTCAAATCCTTAATTAGTTGCCTTTTATAATATCGTTGTTAAGAATAGAGGGTCTATTCTATTCCCTTCTCTCCTATCTATTTATGAAAACAAAACAAAAAGATGACCACATTCAACCAACTATGAGCAGTTTTGGTTTTAATTGTGGTCTGATATCTTTGTGCCAAGTATGGTGGTGAAGAATTGTTAACTGCACTAAAACGTGCGGTTTAGACTGGTACTTTAGTACCCAGTGAGGGTGAGATGAGGGTTGTTGGGGGGAAAAAAGAAGAGAAAAAAAAAAGGGGGGCAGGGGAGGAGAGAAACTGGTGTGCACAATTATCAGCACTCACGTGCTACTGAATATTAGTGCTGATAAAAGATTGTTGAGAGGGTTGGAGCTGTTGTGCACAAGTATAAGAACTTTGGTGCCATTGAACTCTAGTGCTCATGGAAGGCTGTTAATGTGGTGGCGAGGGCAAGGCTGGTGTGCACTAGTATCAGAGCTCCCGTGCTAGTGAACTCTAGTGCTCTGTGAAGACTGATGATGTGCCTCATGGAACCCAATTTATCCATCTGGAGAATCACTGCTTAAGTAACAGTATTTACAATAAACATTTATAAAAATCACCTACAATGAACATTGACAGCAGCAGAAGCAGCAGCAATATAAGATGATGAGCTGTTTGGTACTCCTCCTTGTTCATCTCTTTTGTGGACTTGACATCCATCTCTTGAGGACTATCACTGCTGACCAGTACATTTGCTGTGTAAGACCGCAGCCTGTTCATGCATGCATGCCTCTGCTCTGTACTGCACTGACCCAGAAGACATGTTCTCTCAGAGATGTTTTGCATTAGGTCTGATGCATCCCCTAAGTCAGGATCAGAGCTTGGGTAAGGAAGCAGGTCTTCTATACTTGATGCTATGGAGACAGAAAGTAGTGACTGAGTTATCTGTATATGACGATTGCTACCTACAAACACAAACAATAAAATAATAAATAGGTCAACACATTCTGTTATTGGGGAACAATTTTTTTTTTTTTTAAATTTGTATAAGGTTGAGGTCTTCTGCTGATGAAATCCTTCTTTTCAGGTTTGTTTTATAATTTGACCACCACAATCTGAATATGTTGCACATGGTGTGCAGGTCGTGGCCATGATCGCTATTGGTCAATATCCCACTTTGTCATAGCACAACCATAATACATATTATTCCCACACACAAAAACACAGAGTATCATGTGTTGGAAATGTGCACTCCATGTAGTGTAAAAAAAAAAATGATCAGAAAGAAAAATCATAGCTACCAAACACTAATACCGCTACTCATAACCATTATAAAAATGTCCAAGACAGGAAATAATCAACACAAAGATAATAGTGGCACCACTATATAAAATGTTAATCAACAGGTGTTCCATGTTTCTATACCAGAGGCTATAAAATCCTTCATTCTACACAAAACTCTACTGCAAACAAATGATGTGTGAACGATGGGTGTTTGGAAGAGCCGATTGTAAAATGGGCCTGCTGCCCAAATTGTGACCTTTTGAAAAAAATCTTTGTTCGTCCGTTCGTTCTTAATTCTGCCAACCATCATAAGTCTAGGTGGTCATGCTTCACCATCTTACATGATACTAGTCTTGAATAAGGTTTGTATTCTTGCCTCGCCATATGGACAAACCATCCTGGTATTTATCTTTTTGACTTCCTCTTGCTCTTTTGCCATGAAGCTTGCCTGTTGTCACCAGGTTTTAAAGATTATTTTTCAAAAAACCTTGGTTGACAATGTTTAATTTCTCTAATCAGTTTACAGTTTTTATCTGTTTCTTGAATGACTGCCTTTGTCTCCATCCTTGGTATTCTTTGCATTATAGATTTCTGATGTCTGTCATTAGATGTTTCTCAGCTTTTCTTGTTCTTCGACATTCAGAGGTTCGAGGTTAATTGCTGCAAATATCACCCAACGTCATTTATCTATCTGATGGGCCTTCTTTTTCCAGTTGGTGACTTCTGAGTGTTTGCTGTATATTATCTCTTCACTCTTCTCATAGTCTTCCACACTGTTTAAACCCATTCATTAATCCCATCAACTCTTTTGTGTCTGCAGTATTTGTTTCTAAGTTATCTGCTATTCTTTCTATACACTCTAAATACCACAGTCTTTCAGCCCACAAGATGCCAGTAATTAGTGGCAATTTACATAGACTAAGAAGTTAGTTGATGTTTCTCAGTCTACCTTTTTGGCTGTTTAATGGGTTCAAAACTTCACTGTAAGGCTGTTCTCAAAAGACCATAATTAAGTCTCAGCTCAAGATTTCAAAAGTATACAAAAGTACAGAATCAAACAAGTCGGTAAAGCAAAAACTGAGCAATTATAACTTTCTACAATTAATGAAAAATAACAACTTACATGTTGTGCAAAGTAAAACAGAAAAGAAAAGGTATCTATCTTTTCATGCTAATGAGGTATTGGGGAAAAGATGGGGAAAGAGAGTGTAGGAGAAAAGGGCTATGCTGCTAGACCTCATTGTGTACAGAAAAGTAAGCACTCGACTTCCTAGGGCATTCCCAGGTACTCATTTGCAGCCAAGTTGACCTGAAGACCAGGTCAATTATAAAAATCCACTTTGATGCCATTACATCAGCCACTGTGTGATTTGGGAATCAACAGGCATAGTTGTCAGAGACCTTACATCTGACAATACAGCATATGGCTCGTCTTGCAGGCCCGTGACAGATAAATCTATTCTACACACACTAAACCCAAACACCTAGAGAGCACACAACTATCTTTAACGCAAAGAACAATATAACCGAATGCAGTTAACCTCAGAACGCATGGGTATCCCTATCCAAAACAAAGGATGTGAGGGCTTTACAAATCAAACCTCTCACTCCTAAAATCTTCGCATGGATAGTATTGGGTCCAAACCCACACCATTTCTGTACAGCTCTTACCTCCGCCACTGAACTCAACACCAGGACTGTGGAGCATCTGCTGAGTGCTGGGCAAAGCGACCAAGAATAGATCAAATCACAATAACCAATACAAATTAACCATAGCTATTTAAAAAAAAAAAAGAAATGGTCCCTTTTCCACGCCTTTAGGTGTAAAGGGCATATAGGGCTAGTCCTACATTTGTATAGACCAATAGGCACAAGATGGAAGATGTGGTCAGCATCATGCCGGTTAGCCATTAGACTGACGATAATACCTTACCCACTACCAACATAACATCTGGGATGTGGTATATAACATAACAGTACTGCTAGGGTCTAACAACACATCATCACAGAGCCGATCGGTCACTGTAGTCTACACCTAATACAAATATTACAATCTAATGGTCGAACTGTAACGTCTCTACAGTCACATGGCTAGAAAATCACTCTCCTCGAATGCTAGCTGTCTGCTGGTTTTATTACAGCCCTCATTTCAGTCGAGCCGACTTGCAATACTCGTGACTTCGTAAGCGACACACTTCCTCAGGCATGAGTTCCCCCTGTCATCCATCTATTGTAGTGAACTCCGGTTCAGACACAAACTTTCACTAGCATCATACTAACTGTCCCATTCCCACACCAGGCTAGCATCTGACAGTACACCAGTCATACACCATAGATGCTCTATCTCCCACAGCACATGTCTTAAGATATGGATGCCCAATGTTTTAATAGCACACTTATTGTTACATGCATTAATGTTGCTCTCATACATCTTTTCTTGCAGGATCCCCACTTAATCCCAATCTCACACATCCTTACACATGTTATTTACTCAAGCATTATATTTTCTACCAGCATCTGTCCATAAATGGTCTTCAGAAAGTCTCGCCAAATATGAGTACACCTGTGGCTACCATTTTTGTAGCCAAAGAAAATCAGCTTTTCCCTTCCATCATACAGTATACCCACATGAGTCCCTGTAATGTTAAAGTGGTGATTTTTCACATCCACTCAGGCCCCAGATGTCAATTTTGAACCTCCTGCCAAAATGTTAACAAGATGCATATATATAATTTCATTTCAGAGCAGATTTTGTGCTGTTATGTACACACAAACTTCTCTCAACACTAGCTATTGAACTTTCAGGAATTTACTGGGTTAGTAAGATAAAAACAGACATATAAAAACTATACATAACTATAAAGCAGAAATTTTTTTTTCTTATAGACCATGCCGTGTGGCATTGGTATTCATGTTCATTCACAACCTTATCTTCCTGTACTTTCAAATAATTCAAACACAGATGATCTTCCATGTCTTGATGTCACACTGTCCAATATGTTCTCTGTCTCCTTCTGCCTCTTTTCCCATGCATGTTTTCCTATCAGCATGATGTACTCCAGCTTTCTCCTCCTCATGACATGACCAAAGAATGTAGATTGTCTCCTCCTAAACTGGCAATCAGTTCTCTTTGTAAATCAAGTTTCTGTTAAGACATCTTCATTACTCTGTTTATCTGTCAAAGTTAATCTTGTAATTCGTCTACAAAATCACACATTAAAAAAAATAAACAAGACAAAAAGCAGCACTCACATTTCAGTAATTTCTTTTCACTGTACAGCTGGCAGTTTTTGTCTGTAGGCGGTAAGGCCAGTGCTTCTTGTATGCTAATTCCTGGGTCTTCAGTATTAACTCCTTGGTCACAGTCCTGAACAGGGTGCTCTGCATCCTCACAGCCGTTATAACCGACTTGTTTTGAATACTGACTCTCAATATGATGGTGTGCTTGTCTTTCGATTCTCTGCCACCAGACAAGGGACGTGATTGTGACGATGATGGAGAAGGTGATGATCACCAGTGAGAAAACTTGTCTAAAAAAAAATGAAACATATTTATTGAGTTTTTCTATGTTTAAAATTCAGAGCAAATGGATGCAGCGAAGACCAGTCAAAAAATATATTGACTGTCATCGTCGCCTTGACAGTTGGCACAGATCTCGGTCTTTGGTATTCTGGATTAATTTTCCTGTCTTGAGCCATCCACTATCATTTCTCTTTGTCTATCACTGCCTCTTCTACCAGTGATCTTTCCAGTCGTCATGATATTTTCCAGTGCTCCTTTTCTCATAACATGAACTAAACTACTTTGTTTTTATCCTTCTCAATGCTGTATATAATGTTCTATTTTCATTAAATTAACTGTACATTTCTTTAAATTGCATATTTAAAATCATAAGTATCCACTTTTGAGGTTAAGCACAGTTGTTGTTCGTCCATCACGAGTGATGAAGACCACTTTCATCCAAAGCAGTAATGATCAATGATTATGAGTACCAAGGTGGCTGATTAGTCCAATATGAGGAAAGTTCTTGAGCAGTGCGCTGTGCAACCTCCACTGCCTGGCAGGCCGATGCACCATGTCTGAGGGACGTACGCCATCCAGAACGGTCTTGAGCAGTCTCCCACGTTGCTGTGTTGATGCCAAAAGAATTGAGAGCAGTCTTAAGCACAGTAGAAGAAAACAAGTTGGCAGTCAGCACACAATGTGTGGCTTGGCTATTGGCATTCAGTGTTAGTTAGTGTACAATGTCCTTAGTGTTCTCTGTCCATCTTCTTTTTGGGTGTCCTTTTACTCTCATTATAAGAATTTCTTAGATACAGCTTCTGTGTTCATAAATTCTGTTCCTGCATTCTTCTTCTTTTGCATTCAGCTTTAATCTTTGGCCCAGGGAAGCCCCAAACCTGGTTCATCCATCTGTTACCAATCCTTGTTAATGCCACTCAACAGGCACTGCTGCAGCGATTTGACTGACTGACTTTCTACCCAAGGACATCACACAAGCGATAAACACCCGATGACACAATGTGCCACCATGTGGATGAGGATCACAATGGAGAGGTCCCAGAAACCACGTTCAGCCATTGGGCCATATTTATGGCCTGGCTATATTGCGACCCCAGCAAGAGCCAGGTGGGGCTTCAAAAAACGAAAAAAATTTATCCTAAAAAGGACGGTAAATGAATTAGTTAAGTGTGTGCAGAAGCCATGAGAAGCCTAATAAACAGTACTGCTTCTGACTGCACAGTGGTTTAGGAGGTCCCATATATATTGATGCATTGGAGGACAGGGGTCATTAGGGGGGGAGGGGGGGGGGGGGGGGGGGGGGTTGGGGGGGGGGGGGTGTGAAACTAATGGCATTTGAAAGACCATTATGACACCGCAATTCACCCTGTACTTGTAGTCGCAGGTGTCACTTAATTAAAATATTTTTACGCCCAAGGGAGAAAATCCATTTAACCCTCCACTAAATTCGTATTAACTGGTTATTTCCTTTCATATATATATATATATACTAGCTGTACCCGGCCATGCCTGTGGAGCTAAATGGAAAAAAAGAGAACATAGAAATGTGTCTTCGTTCACAGCGATGTACAGTGCAAACAGCTAAACCACAGCTAATCCTTTTAGTGGGTAAGGCAGTTACTGTAACTTAAATCTATCTCTGTAAAACAGTGATTTTAACCACCCATCCCCCAGTTCACCTGACTACTTTCTCCCTCATCGAAGTAGCTGAAAAAAATACCCTATGAAAAGCAATGACAAGCAGGAAAAATACACCATAATTACGAAATGAACACATTTGCTAATGCTGTAAACTACCCTGCACACACTGCTACAGTAGAAAATTGAAAGGAAGATCGCACAAAATGTTATTAATGGATCATTGTGCCGATTTCATTTCTTTAGGAAAAAAAAAAAATGAGGTAAATTCAGACAATGTGTTTACTGAAGTGCTTTCATGGCCAACGTTCTTAGTTTTTCCCGTCTGGCGCATACACAAATAAATCAAAAGGTTTTCCGGCGTGAGACTGGCCACATATGGGTAGAAAATCCATTTTAAAACCCTCCACTAAATTTGTAAATTTCCCTTCATAAAATATATATATATATATGTGTGTGTGTGTGAGCATATATATATATATGTGTGTGTGTGTGTGTGTGTATATATATATATATATTTTATATATTATAGTGTGTGTGTGTGTGTGTGCATATTTATATTTATTATTATATAATATATAGTATATGCTATCTATATATATATAGTGGTTATAGAGGTCCATATATATATATATATATATTGGAGGACAGGGGTGGAAATATATATAGAGTATAGGTGGGGACACTTCAATAGAACCTAAAAAAGAATTGTTAGTGGTCTCTGTAAAATAGTTAATTCCTTGTCATTTATCTTTTTTTTTTGGCGTCCAGGCAGCAAAACATTGAGTGACCTTGTCTTGTGCATGTTTATTAACTTTCCTTGTTTGCCGCCAGTGTGTCTCACAACCAGTCTAGCCCCTGTTTGACTGCAGAATCACCTTGGCTGGTCTCAGTTGCTGCTGCCCATTTGGCTGGGGCTGTTTAGACAATGCGGTTGCTGTTCACAAGTGTTGGTCATCAAGGTGACAAGAAGTGAGTTAGTTTAGTTAGTTGCGTATCCTTTACAAGACATTGCAGAACCAACCCCAGTAATTTTTGGCTGTTGTGGTTTTTCTATGCGAATTTATGTCCAGTAGTTTCCCATTGCTTTCTGAACGGTTAGTTTCTCAATACCACTGTTGAAACCAACGCAAGGTGCAGATGGGATCAAACCCGGCACTCCAGCATTACGAAGCATGTTTGCAGCGCCTAAGCCAAAGACGCAGACAAAGTGAGTATGCAAGGGTAAAAATGGATCAATACACCCTAGAGCGGCAAGTGTTTACTGTGGGCATAAACTGGAAAACAGAATCCATCAAGGCATGTCAACAATAATTCCTAGTGAAGTTTAGAGGCAGACCTTTTTGGATCAGCACAAAGAATATTGTCCAGCGGTGTCACAGGAAACGATCCAGGATGTAAGGGCCCGACTGCTGACATCTCAAAAGAAGTTACTGCACCGACTTTCACAGGAAACAGGTCTTTCGACAAGCACTTGCTATCGTGTGAAAAAAATCCAAGCTTCATGCATATCGAATCTTATCGCCCACAAGTTAAAACAGCCAGATTGCCTGAAGAGAGTGACATACTGTCAGTGGTTCCAGACCTTGTACGGGATATAATCCTGACATTTTGGACTACACTTGGTTTTCGGCTGAGGCATGGTTCCATCTTTCAGGATATGGAATTTGCAGAATTGTCGAATTTGGGCAAGCCAGAATACCAGTGTGATAAAGTTGCACAAAAAACCCACTTCATTCTGAGAATATTAGTTTGTTGTGTGGTAGTGCCCGGTGGCACATAACTAATCCCATCTTCTTCGACACAAGAGTCACAACAGCAGCATACCCTGCCATCTTCAACTGCTTTGTGAACCAAGTGGAGAATGAGGAATAATCTATTGGTTATTTTCAGCAGAATGAAGCAATACAGCAAATCTCGGTCACAAGCATGGGCGAAATCCAGTCTTTTTTCCGGAAACTGTGTAATTTCTAGGGAACTTGGCCACCACAATCGCCCAATTCCCTTGATTATTTTTTGTGGGGACATTGTAAGTTGCAGGTTTATGGCAACAAACCATGAACCATAGGGGCCTTGAAAGCAAACATCAGTGTGGCCATCCAAGCAGTGACACCACTCCTGAAGTACTAAGACTTTTCACAACATGGAATGCCAGGTCTAATGCTGCCTGGATGCCTATAGTGGCCATTTCCAGCATCTGATATAATGTAACCCGACTTGGCATGAAGTCCACTCCAAATTTTGTTGCTATATCTTTGCTAGTGTCCTAGTTATAAATGAAATACTGGGTTCCACCCCAAGTGAAACACCCAATATGATACAAGACACTGAAGATGCAGGCTATGAAAGCACACATGGCTGAGGAATTGGCTACAGAAAGAGAGACTCTCAGGCTTGTCATTCTCTGAAGGACTTCCTGAATGATGATGATGATGATTATCATGTTTTTTGATTGTCTCTCCTAATGGTTTACTACTAATAAGGTTGAGGAGTAGCAGGAGGGAAAAAAGAAGTAGAAGAAAGTGGAGAAGTAAAAAGGGGGAAGGGGAAGAAGAAGAAGGAAGAGGCAGAAGAAAAGTAGTAGAAGAAAAAGAAAAAAGACAATTAAAACAAATAATACCTGCAATGAACCGTAATGAAATGATGGATCAATTTCACCACTGATTTCATGTGCTCCTAGGATAAATAAAACACCAGTTGTGAAGACAGGGACTCTGAAATGAGAAAAACCTCTCATTAACTTGATTTTATAACAGTTATTTTAAACTCAACATCAAAATCCTCATCTTGAGTATGCCACCATCTTTTTTCTTTCTCTGCATTCACCAAAAAAATGAAAGTTAGCATGCTGTTTGTGGTTTACAACAAGGCTTCGATATCTGCACCGTTTGGTCCATCACACCTGATTTCAGTGAGCTCTTAACTTCCTTTATTGGGGGACATGCTTGTGAAGGGGATACTGGGTCTATTCTTTTCTCCCCTAAAAAACATAGCACCTAAAACCCACACAGGGAATGGCATCATTTTCTTCTACTTCTTCTTGTGATTGCTTATTTATTTTACACAAATAGATGTGTTCTTTTAAAAAAACTGACTGTTTTTTGTGAGTTTTATTTTGGAGGTCCTCTTCAGTTCCATGCAACTCTGAGTAGAGAGTTGACTCTGTGGGCCAGTATTCCCTTCTTAATGAGCTGTACACGGGACATGTACTGCAGATGGGATACACAATCCACACAGGCACAGTGCTGTTATGCTTGTCAACTCTATTTAGCATCAAGCCTGTGCATACACTTGTTAAGAATATGAATGAACGTATGATGCATTCCTTGAGACTCAAAAAGTTAAGTCTGTTATTTCTTGTGTGTGGACTAATGACCTGTTTATGCCAGCCAAGTAAGTGGTAGCCATCACATACATACTGAGCTAATTGTGGTAAAAATTAACATACAAAATAACCCAGTAGATAATGTTTAAAATTTTTTACAAAAATAACAAAAGCAAACAAATTCAGGGCAGCATGTGAAAAATAACTGAAACTTACCCAAATCCAAAAAAATACAACCATATGCTCTTGCGCAACACATAGCATAGACTGCGAACATGCAGTAGACATAAGGCAACAGCAATGACTGCTGTCCAACAGCGAGTTGCAAACACTCCCACCAACAAGATAATAACAATGCAATAATGTTGCCAGCCTTGTGTGTTCCCATGGTAGTAAAAGATGATCATGCCAACACATGATAGAATCTGCAATGAAGGCAGCAAGGTTTACTAACAAAAATTATATTTTAAAATGAAACACAAAAAAGTAAAGGTAGAATTAAAGGAAGAATTTCCTATCATATAGCATGAAAAATGATAATCTGCATATCAGCACAAATTATTTGAAAATTTATCAGAAAAAAGACAGTGTCAATAATGCCTCAGATCTGCCCGATTTGTAGAATTGTTGGTAAGTTATTTCTTTATCTTTTAAGTGGGTATGATGCCAATATCCCCCAAGGCCAACTACTAACTTAGTGGGTATGATACCAATATCCACCAAGGCCAACTACTATCTCACTGGTTATGATGCCAATTTCCACTAAGGCCAACTCCTATTTCAGTAGGTAAGATGGACTTATCCACCTTCGACTTTCTAGGGGCAGCAGCTAGCTGGTATGATGAGTTACAGCTTACACTGGTGTGTTAGTTAGTTTTCTGCACGCGGCCGAAGAACTTCTCATTGGCTAATGGATTTTAGTCCTTGGCTTATGTGCTGCAAACATGTGACCTAACTATGGATCTCTCCCTGCCATGGATGCGCCTGACATCAAAAGCATTTGAAATTTACTTAAAACTATTTCTCGTCTTATCACTATTCTTAAATGACCCAGAGCAGCAAAATAAAGTGTCTTAAGTTTGCCATTTAAAAGATGACAACAGATGAGATAAACAGTTTACTGGAATTTTCAATCTTTGGGAAATTTTTCATAACATACAATATAGTAGTAATCATCATATATGGAATCAACTGAAACATCCTTTTTCTGCTAGCTAATGAAGATCTAAATGAAAAGCGATTCAACCGATTGTTGAAATTTCTTCAAATTATGGCCACTATCAAGGAAAAATACAAGGAATTGTACAGAGAACAAACAGTAAACATCCAAAAGACCCCATCAGCAAACTCAACAGAAAGCAACATACAACAATGTTCCATCTACCAACAGGACACTGCAGGCTCAACTACCACATGCATAAAATAAAGATTGTACAGTCTCCACAGTGTACCTGTCAAACAGGACCCTCAAACACCTGAGCACATTCTGCAGATCTTTCCACTCTACATACACTTTTAAAAAGACACCTGGCCTCAAGAGCAAAGTGTGCAGAGCAAGCTATGGGGAAACCATGAAGGACCTGCTACTGACATGCGAGTTCATAGAGGCAACCCACCTGATGGTCTGATCTGAGCATACAAAACTGAATGCAAAGAAGAAGAGGTATGAATCAGTTAAATGAAAAATACGAAAAAAATTGCATAGTTAACGGCTGAGACATTAGTTAATTTTATAATCAGTAATGGGAAGAAAAGAAGAAGAAAATGGACAGAAGTAAGAACTGCAAATATTATTTAGTTAACACATGAAAACCCAAAGAATTCCATGGATCAAGACCAAAAACTAAATAACATTCTACAAGATCTAACATCAAAGAAAACTGGCTCACAAATAACATCACGTCTTACAGACTGAAATACTCCTGCCTTATTAAACACCACACTGGTTTACATATGAACAGCTGTGAGAAGTTTCAGGGGTTGGTCTGCACAAAGGAGCGCTTAAGACAATGGGAACACCTTCAGCATGAAACAGGTAGGGAAATCCTCAGTCTTAGAGTTACATATTGCAAACAACCTGCTACACAATGATGCTGAGTTGACTTTTTTTTTTTAAACCTATGAATTTGTATATACTACAACCACAGTTTTCTTCTGATGGTTTGCAGTACCAATATTTTTTTGTAGGCATCCTCTTTTTTTTAGCACTAGTGTAATGGACACTGTGGTGCGTACAGGCACCTTTTATTAGACACTCTGTTGTGGGTACCGGCACCCTGTTTCCTAGAGGAGGAAAAGCACAACCATATTTCACGTTTACATGTTACAAATAAAATAATAAGAAACTGCCAGATTATCATTTTCCAGACATGGATTAAGATAAAACAGCCAAGAGCTAAATCTAAAAAATATATACACATCAAGAAGTAGTGTGAAACAGTTACAAATGTCAACTTACATGTGAGAACATAAGCATTATGGTGAACTTATGTGGTATCCTTCTCCATTTACCATTCATCACAAAGATGCCAATAACCCACAGCTGAAACGACAAGTAAATGCTATCACTATCTGGTGACCAGAAAAAAAGACTGATGAATAAATGCTTTCTGTAATTAAATTGTGTGCAAGTCGTGTATTGCTTTACCACAGTTTCTTTAGAAGAGTCCTCCAAACCCATGCTACTGAAATCCTACTGCTGTTGCTTGCTCTATGTTATTAGTGCTACTGATTGTAAGAAAGTAAAGTAACTTGCTACTTAGTCATTTAATGATTACTAGAGAATACTGAAGAAAGTAAAGCAATTTATTGCTTAGTCTTTTAACGTTTGGTAAATATTACTGTAAGAAAGTAAAGTAACTTGCTACTTAGTCATTTAATTATTACTAAAGACTACTGTGAAAAAGAATGGCTTCAGATGGAGACACGTACTTGGGATGATACTATCCTTAGTTAGTTAGTTAGTTAGTTAGTTAGTTGGGTTATCCTCATTGCACTCCGGACATGTCCATAGGTGCTCAGATCCTCCCCTCAGTATGAACCCCAACGTCCGATGGCTAATAGTACCAGTTCTATGTTGATTAACAAGTCTTCTGGCGTTGCTGGTGTGCGTCTCGTTTTTTGCTGTGCCGATCTTAATTCCCAAGTCTGCCATTCTGGCGAGTGATGTGGATTCACTGCCACCAAAGTCCTCTATTCTTCCCATTTCTCTGAGGGCATTGATAATATCAGCATGATCCATAGGCTGACCGTCGGTAGTGATAGCGGATCCAGCCAACCTGTCAGCTCTTTCATTTCCATCGACATTCCTTATCCTAGGTAGAGGAAATGTGACCTGTAAACTAAATTTTATGGCTGGCCAGACCAGCTTCTGCAGTGTGCTTAGTTCCAAATGTACTGGTGTTACCTCCTTTAGAGTAAACAAGGCAAGCCGAAGGAAGGATCATGATGCATGGGCAGCATATGGTCTCTACAATACTGCCTAGGCTTTGTGCTATGGGGGGAGGGGAAAAGGGGGGGGGGGGGGGACTTTATCCCTGGAAAAGATAAGAATCATTTCTTAACGCGAGCAGGTCTTGCTAGTCACACTCATTGCCCTCCATGGCATAATATAACACTATCATCTGGAAAAGTGTCAACATATACTGTTTAAAAAAAAAAGTTAAGGTTCTTTTCATGCTTCTCATACAACGGTTACATAGTGTTAGACCTATATTTAGCCGTTACACCACTGTTACTCTCCGAAGATTACTGACGAGCAGTTTATCTGCAAAAGAAGATTATCATATTCTGTGCCATCTCACAAATCATGTCTTTGATCAGGTCTAGGTTCTGTCCGGCCTTTGCCATGAGGTCAGGACATCCAGGTATGTATATTCTTTTCTCTTCCCCTTATCTCTTTTACATTATATCTGTCAGCCGTCACCAAGTTTTCAAGTTATTTCCAATGTCCCAATATTTTTTACTATAACCTCTGTAATCAGTGTGTGGTTTCTTGTTTCTTGGGAAACTGCACAATGTGTTTTTCTATCCATCCGTAGTATTTATTAATACCAAGCTTAAAGTTTTAACAGCATCTACTACTGCTTGATACACTTTGTGGATTGAAAAGAGAATCCCTTACTTTTCATATAATTTTGTCAAAGTAAATAGCTTGGCTACATCTAGTTTGTGTGTATTGTGTTCAAGTAATCATCCTTGGTATTATTAATGTGTCCAGCTTGATCAGATGCTCAGCTTTGTAACAGTGAAAAGCTCTGCTGATGTATCAGGTCTGATCAAGCACACACTGTAACAGTGAATAGTTTTGGTAATGTCCATTTCATGTTAAGTTATTCAAGGGAATGGTGTTTTAAAGACAGGATGGTCAGATCACTAAGAAACAGGGTAAAGGCAAAAGGCAATGAATGAGTGGACAAACTGACAAGTACTGCACCACTGCATGTGGGAAGATGCATGAACAGAGTGACCAACTTTGCTGCCAGATAATGAAAAATCTCTGATGCTAACACAATTTCATGACCTCGCAGTGAAACCTGGTAAAGCATGTCAGTACTGTCTTTGAGGGCAAGATAGAGGAGACATTGTAACCAACCTTTCATAGCAAAGATAAGTAAAAGTACCTTGTGATGGCTGCTGCATCAGAGGAATGAGCAGGCATGGGAATGACCAATGTGCAGTGACATCAACTGTGATAACGTAACATAAACTAAAAAATACCAGCAGGTTTCAAGTTTTCAAAGGCAGACTTAAAGGTGAATGGATAAATGTGCCAAGATTATACTGATACAGACCCCACTTTACACACTCATATGGCATCTTTGGAATAAATCTAATCTGGCCAACAAAATAAGGACTGGCCATGTACTCTGCTGGGCAGAAGCCAAGCTGAAGACTAAAATCTCTGCCTGAAAAAAGGCAACCACAAAGGTGACAGGTGAAGAGCAATAGTGAGTGGTTTCCCTTGGCCATAATGGTAAAAGGTAAACCCACAATGGTGGGGAATCAGCACCCACAACTTGGCGTACCATTCATAGAAAATTCACCCGCATACTGAGACAGAGTAAGCTGTTTGTATACTGGGATAGGCCAACGCGCCAATCCAATTATATCATTTCATTCAGTATGACAAGGTTTAAATGCACTAACTAATAAAAAAACAATGTGATACAACAGGCAGATTACTTTCTAATAAAACACTGCATTAAACACTGTAAACAAGGCAGAATTTTCCAGGGTGCAGTTTTGCTGATAAGGACAATCAATTCAACCTATGGCAGATCACAACAGTGATTCTCAAACAGTAATGTACTACCACTTTTGAAAATCTAACCCAAATTTACATTAAAACACTACCAAGTTTTTTTTTGGTATAAAGTATTTTTTTTTAAAAAAAAAAAAAAAACTTCATGACACATACTGGGCATATATACCCTATGACTATGAGATGCACAAAGAAATGTTTTACTTTAAATTTGCATAGTTTTACAATTAGGAAATTTAACTGTACATACACAACATGCAATGCTGATGAAACTAATGTCAAAGGAAGTGTTGGTCAACAGTTGCCTGTAGTCTGTTCCCGAGACCACGATAAGTGTCATCATCTTGGCTGAGACAAACATCAGGGGGGCAGACAGGAATGTCCCTAGCACCAAACCTGTGGCAATCTATAAATTCATAAAAATAAAATAATAATATCAATAACAGCTAACCATCCTGGTTTTTTGGGGGGGTCATTTTTGGTTACTTTATGTGCAGATTCATAAAAAGTTTATGAATACATATATTCTCCATTTCTGGCTGTGACCTACTCTTAAACCTATTCTATGGAAGATAATGCAGTAGTTTCACCTTACATTCTACATCACCTCTGTTTATGATATAAATTTCTGGATATCAAGACAAACGAATTAAAATCTTGCTCTCTGGTATTGTCAGTAACTGAATTCTGTTTCAGTGTGTTCATAAAAAACTTTTTTCGTTTGATGTTAAATAATAAGTCCTACTTTCTGCAAAGTCTTTAAGAATTTGCTCACATGATCTCTCTTTTACAGCAAACAAATATAAAAAAATAAAAAGGTCTGCCCACTTAGTGAAAACATTTTGTGATGCCATACCATACAAGGAATATACCACAAAAGGACAGGGACAAAGACTATGAATAACGTGGAAAGAGAACAAAGAAACCACAGCCCTAACAAGTATCTATGGTCGAGGTTGCCAGAAAAGCAAGAAACAGAACTGTGTGTCTCCACTGACACCTGAAACAGTAAAAGAGAAAGTGAACATGAAGAAATCTTTCTGTTCTGCCTAGATTATTTCTTGTACTTTGTGCCAAGTTTGAACCCTGATATGGTAATAACCGCTTTCAATCTGTATGTTGTCCCATTATATCTACTCCTTTCTATGAGTGTCAATCAATACATGTTAAGTTCTGTATCTTATCGTTTCTGGTGATAATACCACATCTCAAATGTAGGGACCACAGTTTCGGAAATTTGCTATCTTTTCGACAATTTCCGTTACCATAGAAACCGTTTAAAACTTGTTTCGGAAATGTCGGCTGGGGTTTCGGGATGGGTCCTAATCTCTCATGAAATTTTGCCATTGGTGTGATTTTCACCCACTCTAAATAGCTGAAAACGGCGGAAGGAACCCGATTAACAGCGCATGTCTACGACAGCCGGACATTCTCTGTTTTTCTGTTAGTCTATCAGTTTGATTGAAAATAGCGGTAAATTCGAGGTTGGCTTTAGGCTTAAACATTACCAGTTGTGGTAATGCTAGTTACAATTGAATTCTCCGTCCAATTTTACATTTGCATATTAAATTTTTTTTTCCCGACTCTGGCTGTTTAGATTTACAGTGACATTTTTTAGGCAATCGCATGCGGCTGAGTGAGCTGAGTCTCACTGCCTGCCATCTTGTCCAATGACAGTCCAATGTCAACAAAGCCGATACAGAACTGCGCAGTAGGTTGCGCAGTAAAAAACTTCTTGTTTCTGGGTCACAAGTTTTAGCGGCTGTTTCTTACATCTCATCTCCACAAAAACCTACATATCTCAGCTCAGAAATGACATACAAGCCTAAATGAGGTACCATTGGAAAGAGATTGTTTACAGCTATCTAACTGTGCTGGTTTTATTGGTGTAGAGGGCATTTTAAAAATTTGACTGAAGTAGCTATCAAATGCTTCCTAGTTTTGTTCATATCTTTAACGGTCCACGTTTTCAAGCTATATCAGTGCTATGTTTTCTAGTGGACCTAAAAATTTACAGATGCAAATTTACTCTCCTGTCGTCATCACATTATGAGTTCTGACATATGACCAACTCTGAAAGACATTAGGGGACTTTAAGAGGTAAATGTATCTACAGTCTGAGAATCTTTATTACAAAAATGTGTAGTTCAACTTGAAGGTCACAAAATATTTACTAAACTGAATGAGTAAGGTAAACAACAGTCAAGATTACAAAAATTATCATCATCGCCCTGATGTGCTGTTAAATGTTACAAAAGGCCTGCAGTCTGGACTTCCATTCAGTTATATCCTGAACAATCCTGTGAATATCGGATGGAATCCAGTCTAGCAGCATTTTTGGCCGAATCCAGTCTAGCAGCATTTTTGGCCGAATCCAGTCTAGCAGCATTTTTGGCCGAATCCAGTCTAGCAGCATTTTTGGCCAAATCCAGTCTAGCAGCATTTTTGGCCTCTCTCCACAATGTTCATCACAGAGTTTCTCTTAGACGTCCATATTTCCACAATCTGTTAGTTTCCCATTTCGGTGCCTGCCTGGTAATTACCTGTCCATTTCTCCCAGCAATATGCCCAACACAGTGCAATCTCATTATAAAAATTAGGTGGGATATTAAACATAGCTTCATTTTGCAGTTCTTTATATTTAGTTACTGAACGTATGAGCTGCACATTTGACAATGCGATGCAAAGCATTTCAGAAACAAAGAGCCTGACTTACGCACAGCCCTTCCAGCCTCTCATTTCACACAGAAATTTTATTTTTTCATATCACATATGTTAAGTTCCTTTAGCAATAAAGATAACATGAATTTTAAGCCTGTGTGCGCATACTCACACACAAGCAGACGTACATACAGACACAGAGTATGACAACAGACTCACACATATCCCGGCTCTGTTTAATATTGTGTGTGTGTGTGTGTGGTGTGTTTTGGGGGTATTCTGTGGCACGCACGCATGCGTGCGTGTGTGTAATTAAACAAAATCAAATAATGCAAAAGAGAAAAATACACCTAAACAATATTCTTTGTTAGTCCGCTAAATATAAATTATTGACTGAAACAGTAATTATGTGTGTAAAACATGACAAACAAGGGGCAAACATTTTATCTGAAACTAGAGTAAGAAAAGCTCATCATCATCTTTTCTTATATCTTGGATTTTGAAGTGAAGTATGAACAGGGGTCAGCCATGTGAATATGGAAAGCAAGAAGAGACTACCACATTTAATATCCCTAAAGAAAACTCTGAATAGAAGTTTCAAAAAAAGAATCTATATCAAAAAGAATTGGCTCACTAAAAGCATCCAGTCCCAAAATATGAGTTATTTTGGCCATGTTAAGCTTCATGGTGGCCTAATGAGAGCAGTGATGGAGGTTAATAGTTTCTAGAAAATTAAGCAGACCTCCGTGAATGTGGATAAAAGACACTGAAGATGCACTATGAAAGCACAAGGAGCTGGGGAACTGGTTAGAGAAAGAGAGACTTTCAAGGGTACTGTGATGAGAGTGATGCTCTGTAAAGGGCCGGCTGATTAATGATGATTAACATCGGGAGAATGTACCTTTGTGTGATTCATACATGGAAGTTTCCTAGGATTCTCTTTTCCCCCACTATCCATCATTTACTGGTTGACCTCACAGAAAAAATATCAAAATAAATTTTCAAACCCACCAAAACAAGAAAATTAATTTTCTCACCACATCTTCAGCAATTCCGTAGTTACTTGCATATAAGAAGACCGATGGAGCTGAGGGGAATGTGCCATACAGAAATGCATACATGCTGTACGATGTTGTGTCATTGCCAGTTTCCAGCCACTCGACTACTTCCCAAGTAATCAATGGAAGCAGTAAACTGTAACAGTAAAATAGATAACAGTAAATATATCTATTCAAGGTGAGTAAAGCCTGTTTGTATGAGAATGTCTTTAGTCTTAGAATATTTACTGAAAACAAAATGCTGCTTTGAAAATCGAAAATGAAGTAGGTCTGTATCAACCAATCAAGAGAGGTGTGCAACAAGGATGTGTAATGTATTCAGATCTTTTTCACTTTTATAGTGAAAACATCATGCACATTCTGAAAGACATAAAGGGAATTAACGAGACGGGATGTAGCACCAACAATATAAGATAAGCAGATGATGGTGTGTTAATTTTAGACAATAAAGATCTGAAGTGTTTAGTAGATGTCGAAATAGTTCACAGTCAGAAGCTAGGCTTAGAGTAAAATTTTAAGAAAATGGAAATTATGGTAATCACAGAGAAGAAATAAATAAAAAAGTGTAGAATACAGACAAAAGGCTAAATTTTTTTGCAAGTCAATAGGTACAACTTTCCTGGAACAGTCATCAACATCTGATGCAATATGATTAACAGGAATTATAATAAGAATTGCCATGGCACAAGACAACTTTAGCAAGATACAAAAGATATGCATCAATAAGATGTCAATTGCAGTAAGAAAAAGACTGTTAAAGTGTTATGTAGAACCTGTGTTTTTACATGCATGTGAAACTTGAACAATAGGCAAACAAGCTGAAAAACATTTTACTTACAGCATAGCTCTGGTTTCTAAAAAGAACGCAAAGAATACCATCATCATCTTTTTTTTCTGTTTTTATGTACCTTTAGGCATCACATAGGGCTCGCATTCTATTCTCCACTCCATCTATTGCATGCAACTTTCTCAATTTCTGACATGGCGTTCAGCCCAGCATTTTTAGCCTCTCGTAATTATGTTCTTCTGAATGTTTCTTTTGGACGTCCTTTTTTTTCTTTCTCAGACTGTTTGTTTTAGGATTCAATGCTTGTTTTGATAATTCTTTGCTCATTTAAAAGAATAAAATGGAACAATAGCAAACAAACAAAGCAGTCTTCATAAAGACAGGTGAGAGTTGTAAACTTATTAGAACAATCAGAAGCAGACAGTCAATATTTCTTGGACATGAGAACAAATGGACAAGAGAACTTGGTAACTACTGACAAGATTGATGGAAAGAGAGCAAGAGGAAAGCATAAGATACTCCTTTATTTTTATGCCTCTGTGAGTTTCAGTGTAAAGTCATTTTAGTTATATTGCTCACAGGTCATCTCATTTCCCATTGACCTTACTTTTGTCTTCTTAAAGAAAAAGAAATGATTAATGCAAACAGTAAAATCAATTCTCACTTTTTAGCTGTAATGAGAAGTACTGATTCCATTATGGCCTTCATTCATATTTACATTATATCTAACATATGCTCAAAAGCAAATAGTGATGAGCTATTTTATATTTTTCCCCCTTGCTGAGCTTCACAGTAACAGCCTTTTTGTTTATAATTAATTATGTAGCACAGATATTTGTGTTGACCTCTTTAAACTATAATGAATTGTCTAAAGAATCAGTATTCAAATGGCTGGTCATTCATTTTGCTTCTGCAGTAAAAGTTTAAAATTGACGTCTATTTAAGAAAAACAAATGCAAGTTTTCCTTTTGTGATTATACTCTTGACATTTACACTTACAGACAAAGTTCTCATGATAAAGTTCACCATTTTATGGAGTGCTTCTCAAGTCCTACACAGCTCTAAGTATGGTGTTAACTCAATCAGTCAGTATTCCTTTCTTAACAGGCTGTTCAAGGGACAATACTGCTGAACATGCTCTACAGTTTGTTAACATAGCCAACTTGAAGATAGTGAGGAAAAATTCAGACAAAACTTGTAGATATGCTTGTTCAGTCTGTTATGCTCTTTCTTAGCAATTGATCCACCTTTTCATATCCTGGTATGATGCAGCAGAGTGTACTTTTTGGCAGCTCACTTGTTAAGTTCACTTCTCAAGTATGGGATTTTACAACTCGTGAGAACTTGAGGCACTTACACACTCCACAGTTACAAAACTGTGTACTTTTGGTAGTTTATGCTGTGACCTTCTCAAATGCCCCTTTCTCATGATGCCTTTTATTTGTATTAAAATTGTTGGCATTTTTTTTTTTCATTTTCACTGTGATTAGTATTATGTTGTTTTTTTCTTAATTTACCTCGCTGCCAGGTCATCCCAGCCTAAAAGACATACCAATAAATTTTCTGGGAAGTAAAAGCTGCCAGAAAGATAATGATCGTATCCCTCATCAGTTAGTACATAACAAATATGCCAATAATACCAAATACTGTTTAAAATAACAAAAGTAATGTAAAGTTATCAGGTAGCTTCCTCAACTAAGTAGTCACTGCTTCCAGGACGTCATGTGTCACCGAGGACCAGTCCTTGTGCGTCGCCATGATGTCATGTATCACAGAGGACCAGTCAAAAATTAACTTCTTGGGGGCAACCACCATTGGTGGCAGCTGACAACCAATGAAGACAAGACTGGTTTAGTGACGAATCTATCTCTTTTATTTCAGCATCATGACAGATGGCATGACAGATGGCATAGGGTCTACCACCGCAAAATGAACGTTCAGCCTAAAAATGTGCTGATGAAACTCCACTGTTCAATAATGGAGATGCAATGGTGTGGGGAATGGTCAGTTACAATGGAAAGAGTAAACTGGTGAAAACTGAAGGATGCTTGAATGTGCACCAATATGTCAATGAAATTTTTCGACTGCATGTCTTTCCATTTGTGGATGCCAAAATATTTGTTTTTCAACAGGACAATACCAGACCTAATTCTACACAGCTGACCATGAAGTTTTTGACTGCCAGTAACATTCTCACACTTTCCTGTCCAACACTGTCTGCAGACATGAGTACTACTGAGCACCTGTTTGATGAGTCATACAGATGTGTTTGTCGCCAAGATGTGGCTCTAGCCAATCATTGTGATCTGCTCCAGCCACTCCAGGAAGAGTAGGCAGCCATCCCACAATCACTGATCGATGCCAGAGGGGGCCACACACCAGCCCATACTGACAGGGAAGCCTATATGCCTCAGAACTATCCATGAACCAGAGGCAAAAGAAATGTCTTTTGATTAGCTGAACCTAATGTATTCATGTGACCAATCTGAACGACTTCACTCATTAAAATACAAAGATCCTGTATGGCAAATTATGAATATGTATGTTTTTTTTAAATTAGCTATGCATATCTGTTTTTGAATAGTATATCTCAGTGTGTAGAAATGTGTCTTTTTTTCACTACTTTGATGTCTGCTTTTTTATTCCATGGTTGCGCCACATATAGATGTTAAGTTTGTTACTCTACACAGCTGACTTACTACACCCGATCCGGTCCACCGGCATTCAAATGTCTTAATTGGCCCTGGATTTGCTGTTACACGAACTGTGACTTCATGTCTTGCTTTCAATACCTTAAAATAGCTCAAAGTTTAATCTTTACCTTAGTATTCTAGGCAGATAATGTTCTGTGATAATAGAAAACCTTATTCAAGTCTTTCACATTTGAATCATCTTTGATTAATCACCTACTAAACTTGGGTTTATTGTTAACAATAAACTTGTTCTGTACCAAACAACTCAGCACATATTAACTGGTAACTATTTAGTAAGCTAATAAACCCCAAGATTTTGAATTTCTCTTATAATTTACTTTTCATCCAAAACATTTGTACAGGAGTTAACAATGCATTATAATATTGATTTCTAAATGAGATATAATATCAAAGATAACAGCATATAACTTACCTAGGACACTGAGAATACCATCAATGATATCAGGCACAGATCCAGAGAAAATGAAATTTCCAGCAACACCAATGACTGTCATAAACACAATGGGATTCATGACCACCCCTTTCAAGACATGCATCGTTGCCCGCCTGAAACCCTGGCCTCTGCTTTCATCGTGAATTGCATGGTGCTTGTGGATCTCCATTAAGGTGAAGCCAATAGGGTTCAGGAGAACAAGTGAAATCGGAGCAATCAGGTAAAGATATTTCAGGTACTCAGGGTGTGTTTTCCCATACAATGCTTGAACTGGGGAAGCAATAAAATAAATGAGTTTTAATTCCAAACCTGCTAATCAAGCAAGTCAGTGTAAATAGATTAAAGCTGAAAGGTTTATAGTGGGCTGACTTTAATGCACTAGGTTTATCTCATATGGCTCTCTCTCTCTCTCTCTCTCCGCAGAAAGGCAGGCACTTGCCGAAAACATCACACAAAGCACAAGCTCTGTAGTTCCTGTGATGATCACCAGGGATCTTCGTAATAATTGCACTTGTGAAGTGAATGATGCTGCAGTCTTTAAGCCTAAGGACTCCACAACATAAGGCAAATAGCCTAAACACTTAGCCGGAGACACTCCTTCATTTAAAGGGAAAGACGATGGTAGCTGCAGAAGTGGGTGATAAAGCAGAGAAAAAACAAATACACAATCTCAGGATTGGATGATGCAGGGGGAAAGGAACAGACTAAGATAAAGCAGAGAAACAGCAAACAATCTCAGGATTGGATGATGCAGGGGGACAGGAACAGACTAAGATAAAGCAGAGAAACAGCATACAATCTCAGGATTGGATGATGCAGGGGGAAAGGAACAGACTAAGATAAAGCAGAGAAACAGCAAACAATCTCAGGATTGGATGATGCAGGGGGAAAGGGACTAAGATAAAGCAAGAAACAGCATACAATCTCAGGATTGGACAGGGGGAAAGGAACAGACTAAGATAAAGCAGAGCAACAGCAAACAATCTCAGGATTGGATGATGCAGGGGGGGAACAGGAAGAAGATAAAGCACATAGCTCTATTGGAGATAAAGACAGATATAGCAACAGCAAACAATCTCAGGATTTGATGGTGTAGAAAATAACAGACTTGGATAATGCAGAAAAACAGCAAATACACCATCTCCGGATTAGATGGTGCAGAAAAAAACTCATTGAGATAATGCAGAAAAACAGCAAATACACCATCTAGGGATTAGATGGTGCAGAAAAAAACTCATTGAGATAATGCAGAAAAACAGCAAATACACATTCTCAGTATTGGATGATCAAGAAAAAAAATTACAAGCTGCGATAATGCAGAGAAAAAGCAAATATACAATATGCCTGTATTACACAAAGTATTTTCCTCAATATCTTCTTCTTCAGATAAGTAAGTTGTATGTAATAATGGCTATGGAAAACTCTAACATGCCATATTAATTAAATGCCATGTGGCAAATTATTCTGCTTTATATTATACCATCTGAAGTGTGCACACATAAACAATGTTGTTAAGTCTTCAGGTAATGGTGGCCTACTTTGACACAATTGAAACACAAAAGGAAACACCTTGATAAAATAACCCTTTTAACACATCTTAAAATAACACTTCTTAAGCCATCTACCTGGCAAACTTTCAATTAACTTGATCAGTCATTGTATAGCAGGTCCTTTGCAGAATGTCACTCTCATCACAGGGAGCTACCATTGTCTAGCGGCTAGACGCTCGCCTGCATATGGAAAGGTTGTGGTTTTGGTTCCTGACATTTTGAAAAAAAATGACATTGGCTCTCAAAAAATGACCTTGAGTGGGTACCAAGTTCAGTATTGGGATGTAAAGGTGGCCGGCCTGATGCTAATCATATCCCCCACCAAGTGCCATTTGGTCTATAAACTATGGGTCTAGCCCTATATACCCAATACGCCTAAAAGCATGGAAAAGGGTTTTTTTGAACTTTACTCTCATCATAGTCTGCTTAAAAGAAACTTGGTCTCTCACCAGCTCTACAGCCTGGTGTTCTTTACTTCCAAAGGTTTTATCATGTGCCTATCTTTATTATGGCTGGCCACTGCACCATTTCCTGGCACCATGCCTTCCGCAACTATTTTTTCCATCCTGCCATGGCGCTTGATATGGCCAAAATATTTCAGTTTCTGACAAACGACGATGTTTACTAGTCAATCCTTCTTGATGTTCAGATCTTTTAAGATACGGGTAATTCTTTTGATCTTAATCTATGGTATTAAAAAAATCTTCTATAGCATTTCAGCTCACAAGTCCCTATTTTCTTCCTTAATGACTCCTTAAAGACAGTTTACAACTGATATCCGTATGCTGCTACAGGGACAATGCATGATCTCAAAATTATGACTTTGATTTCCTTGCTGGTGCTTAACCATAGAATTTTAATGCTGTTTAACCATAACTTGCTTGAGGCAACATTAATAATTTAAAATTACCCAGTTTTCCTAGTTATGCAAAAAGTAAAGGACCCTTTCCCACACCTTCAGGCCTACTGGGCATATAGTGCTTGATCTTTACTTTATAGACCAGTGTTTCCCAAAACTTTTCTTGGTCGTGGGGCCTTTTTTCAATTAAAATGTTTCCACGGCACCCTAACCTAAGTAAAAGGATGAATATTTGGGTCTTGGTTAAATTAATTATGAAGCTTTTACAATATATCGCGACGCCCCTGTGAGGAGGCCGTGGTGCACAATTTTGGAATCACTGTTATAGAACAATCGGCATTCAGTTATTTTTTTTCAACATCACGTTGGCAGCCTCAATTCCCATGACTATACCTGGTAACAATTTAAAGCTGGGTCCACCTTGGAGTCGATTCCATAGCTATAAGCATATATTAATTTAGCATATGGCGACCCTAAGTCAACATATACCCACTAACTTACTTAATGGGTATCCTAAGTCAACATTTTACCCACTAACTTACTTAATGGATATCCTAAATAATCATAAATCAACATTATACCTACTAACTTACCTATTAGATATCCTAAGTCAACATTATACCCAGTAAATATTATATTTATTGTTTTATTACTGTTATATTATGGTTTATTATACCTATTGGATATCCTAAGTCATCTAATACCCAGTAACTCACCTATTGGATATGCTATGTCAACATTATATCCAGTAACTTACCTATTGGATATCCTACGTCAACACTATCCCCAGTAACTTACCTATTGGATATCCTAAGGCAAAGTCATTGCTCTGAGTGGCAAAGATGCCAAAAATGCCAGCGTAGCCCAAGTTGAGGGGTCTCTTGATCAGCAGGGTTGCCAGACCCACAATGATGAACAATGATGCCTTGGCTATTAGAATACCCACCAGGAACATCCAGTTCACCTAATAATGTACACCGATGAGAATCTTCACACACACTTTCAGACAGTGTGATCAACATTTTTAAAACAATGAGCTGTCAAAGATTCTGAATGCTGAGGTACAGAGACAAGGTGAAGGTAAAGGTGAGAGGATTGACATCACTGCACTGGGTTTTATCGCATGTGGCTCAGTCTTTCTCCACAGAACAGCTAACCGCCTGCCTAGAGTGTCGCACAGAGCTTGACCTCCGTAGCTCTGGCATAAAAATTGCACTCATGCACGAACAGCCCAGCAATGGCTTGTGCCATGAGACTCCCTGAGGTAGAGAGAAAGAAGGAGACAGTTCACAAAGGTAGCCCGAACAAGATAGGGATACAAATGTTGAGGTAGAGAGAAAGGAGACAAAAGTAGCAAAAAAAAGTGTAAAAAATGGAGAGAACAAGGTAGGGATAAAAATGTTAAGCAAATTAACAGTAAAATATTTTAGAGAGTGAGAGAGAGAATAGAGGCCAGAGTGAGATAACGTTAGGAACTAGTAAGAGCAAGGTGGAGATCAAAAGTTTAAAACAGTAAAACATGCTTGGAGACAGAAATCGAGAAGTCTGAAAGAGTAGAAAACAGAGAGAAACAAGCTGGAGCTACAGGTATGATTGACATCTACACAAACTTCTAAAGTTTAGGATGGGCAGTGGCCAGTTAGGTCTAACTTGTTCAATTACCAGCTGCTAAGGGATTTTTAAAACAGTCTCACTTTGTGTGCCCCATATATCAAATGAAAAGAACCGCCATGGTGCAGCGGCTAGATGTTCGTCTGCGGATAAGAAGTTTGTGGGTTCAGGTCCTAGATAAAGTCCTGGGAAGTAATCAAGCATTGCCAAACGGGTTGCCTGCTGGCTCATAACCGTAGATAACCTCATCGCGTGTCTGTCTTCTTTGATCGCATCAACACTGCAGGACTCCTTATCAGGGCTCTTGGTGGCATGCAATGCTAAACCATTTTATATGGTGCACATAACCTAGTCACAATTATAACCTACAGATCCCCCTTGATGGTTAAACGTGACGATTTTTATTTCTACCTGGGAAGTAAGGGAGGCCGACATGTTTGTTACGACATCACCCACCGCGAATTGGTCTATAAAATATAGGTCTAGCCCTATATGCCCTATATTCCTGAATGCGTGGAAGAGGTCCTTACACTATAAATGAAAAAAATGTGAATGATCACAGCCGACTTTTCAATGTTAACTTATTTTTTAATTATATGCAGTTAAAAGAGGCAGTCAAAACAAAATGAAGAACATTTTATGCAATCTTTCTTTGTCAACTGAGATGAGAAAGAGAATTCTTAAAAGCTTTATAAATCCTATAGAGCTATATGTAAGTGAATCATGGACAGTTGGTAAATTAGTTCAAACTTATTTAGAAGCTGCGAAGATATGGTTTTATATATGAATGATTAGAATACTCTGGACAGATAAAAAGAGTAATGAAGATGTCTTGAAAGAAACTGACTCACAAAAAGAATTGATTGCCCGCATCAGAAAGAGACAATCAACATTCTTTGGGGATGCGTTGAGAAGGAGAAAACTTGAGTTCATCATGACAGTAGGAAAGTTGGAGGGGAGGGGAGGCAGAGGGAAATTGAGAGAACAAATGCTGTACAGTGTAACATCATGGCATGGAGGATCAACTATCAGAAATGACTGAAAGTACACGAGACGGAAGGTTGTGGACAGACATAACTATGAATGCCAGATGGCATGGACTTTGAGAAGAAGAAAAAGAAAAGAGGCAAGGTCAGGCAAGAGCACCATGCAGGAAGCCAAAAAAGAAGAAGCCAAAACAGAACTGGTGTCGTGAGCCGCATGGGTTTTACTCTGGAGGAGATACAAGAACTTGAGGACCAATAGTTCATTGCGCAATGACGATGATCTGTCAACTAATTAACCAAACAGAATACATACATGCATGCATAAAATTAGGCTCTGTCTTCTTCTTGTTCGTGTTCACCAACTTTCAACTCAAATAGAAAGTTCTCCTTCTTTGTACACTACTGAACATTTTCAGTACCTGAGTTCTATGTGCACATCCATTTAACAGATCTGGCTTATTTGTATTCAGACTGCTGGTTCCTTGCATCTCATGCAGATTCATTTCCGCTTCAAAGGAAACCCTCTTAATTAGTCGACTCTTACAACATGCTTGACTGGGAGGCAGTGGGACTATTCTTGTTTTACCCCATAATGGTGTCCTTGAGCCAAACCAGGAGGTAATGCAGGTTATAGGAGAAAAGAGGAAGAAATTAAACATGCAAACACATAAACTCACCTGGGAAAAGTTCAGCTCACACATGCTCTTAAACAGCAGTGCTGGCAAGCAGAATTTGGACACAAAAGTTCCGATGCCAGCACTTTGAACAGACGTCACTAGCCCTGCTCGACCTGCTATGTATCCTGACAGTATGATGACAAAACACTGGACAATGGCAGTGTACAAGCGGTCAAATGACACATCACTGATGTCAGGAGAGGCGGCTACCAAGTTTGTCATTGATGTATTCATCGTTCTTGTATAACCTTTCAACTTTCAACCCTGGCTAAAAGTGCAAGAAAGAAAAGAAGATCCCACAATATGTTACACACACAAAAAATTGGCAGAACAGTAAAATACAGAATAGTGTTACATCAGCTTGGACAGAGTGCCTTTGATTGTGTGGAACTGAGATTGTGCTTAAAAAAAACATAAAATACTTGTTCCCCAGTAATTAAATGTACCATAAATTGTATAAGTTGAGTTTTCAAGCCTTAAAAAATCTTTACAAAACTAAGGGTCGACTCGGAATACTTCTTCGTCTTCTTCTTTTGTCGTCTCAATGATTAAAGGTTGTAGCCTAGAGTTGTGGTTTTCTGTATTTGTCTTGCGCTACTCGGGGGGCTTGGGTGATGGATCTGTTCATCTGATTGCAGGTTTCAGATACACCAGGATATTTGGTAATTGCCTGTAGTAGTTGATATAACTGAAGCTTTAGCAGTGCTGTATGAATACTACACATGGCTGACAGTATTTTTAGAAAAGTGGGAACAGACCATCTGATAGCCGCCCCACCCCCCTTAACAAGCATGTCACAAAAGGCAACTAATTAGGGATGTTTCCTTCAAAATGAGAGTGCACATGACTGAGAAGCGAGGAACCAAGTCTGCATACAAATATGCACAATCTATAAAACTTTCAGAAGTGGACAAATTTCTGAAAGAGTTTACAGCAACTGAGAGCCAACATGGAGAGAAAAAGATAAAAGCAGGGAAACCATTCTGTGTCCTCCTGTTTTTGCTTTTTTCATCCTTATATCTATGAGCTCCAACCAGTACATTACAATTTGTTTTCCAAGCAAAGTGTAATAAGCATGACACCCCAAAACCTTACGGATACACTAGGATGACTTCATTACAATAATATCACTAATGGTGTACGGACTAGGCTGGTGGATAATGAAGAATCTCTTGTGCTAACATGATTACATGACCTGGAAGTAAAGCCTGATGAATCGCGTCTATGCCATCTTCGAGGCCAAGACAGCAGACACTATAACTAGCTTCCAAAGGGTACAATCAGTAGAGGCATCTTGTGGTGGCTGCTACACAGATGAACTGAGCATGCAGGGGAATGCTCAATATGCAGTGAAGTCGATTTTGATAACATAACACCATCCTCATCATAAACATCTTTTTCATTATCATACTCTCTTAGTCACTTCCATATTTCATGTGGATGCCATTAGTCACTTCCGTATTTCATGTGGATGCCAATGTTGGACAATGAGTAGCAGAATGGTGAGGAAAATGGAGGCACAAGATATGCAGGATTTTTTTTTATTTCATGTTAAGAATATCATAAACAGGGCCACATTTAGGTATCTGCAATATGTGCAGCTACACAAGGCAGCAAAAAGGACTATTTTAAAAAAAAAAAAATGTCCATACATAAAAATAAAACAAGAGTAAAAACAAATTGACTTTATGGACGTATCATGCATCCTTAACATGGCCATAGAAAAAACAATGCTGAGACAGCTGTAAGTGTTTCTTTACGCTAATTTTTAAAAAGTTCTTTCTGAAAACTCTGGTGCACAGTTCTGGTTGTTTGTGCACTCCTGACCAAGAACTTGAGTTCTGGCATGAACATCCATTTTTACAGATCTAGCTTGGTTGTATACAGTCCGTATTTTTAAAATGTAATTAACAGAACGTAAAAAAGTAGGTGCAACAAACAAAATAACGTTATACACTAAAATATCAGGCAGGAAAAGCAATGGAAGGCAGTGAAAGATGTTAGGGCAAGCAATATACACTTCAAGTTTAATCTTTTGACCTTACCAGCACTAATTAGAAGAGCAAACAGTTTGGGCATCCAATCAAAATACATCAAAATCAGTTAACACAACACAGGCACTGTATCTGCTGCCACAGCTAGAAGGTACCAAGTAAGATATGGAGTGTTAAAATTAAAAGCATTATTCATTCAATGAGAATGTCAACCACCAGAACGAAAAACCTTGTGCTGGGCCATAAACTATTTTCCCTCCATGTCACTTGATTATAAAAGTAGAAAGAAGATGCCTAGTTCAAATATAAGGGTTTTGCTTTTAAAGTATTCAGCCAGCAGCATAGTTCTACAGAGCCAGTATCATACTGAATATGTGATTAACTTTACAATGATGGTTTTATATCTATACTAATAATACATTTCATAATGGATGTTTTCTAAATGTTCAGGATTCATACGCATACCTCCCCATGTGAGGGAAAACAAGAATAGACCCACTGTCTCCCTAATAATCATATTGTAGAAGTCAACTATTTGTGCATCAGCCAATGCAAACAAGGAACAACCAACTGCATAAAAATAAGCCAGTAAAATGAAGGTACAACCAAAACTCTGACACTTGCACTAAACTATAGTCGAAACAGATTAAGAACCAGGACTTTTTTTCCTGAGCTTACAGTAGGTGAATGAAGAAGAAGAAGATATGCATATCATGTTAAATCTTAGTGTATGAAGCTTGCAAAAATTATGTTTGTAACCTCTACTGACAATTATTCTGTGCATAAAACATTGTGTGAGGGAACAAATTAGGAAGAATTTGGCAGCAACAGAGATGAAGTTTCTGAGAGATAGGTTAGGAATACCTTTGACGACCACAATAACTAACAAAGAGTGTTTGAAAGAAGCTAATGAAAGTAGATCTCTATATACAACAATAAGAAGGAGACAAACAATGTTCTTTGGTCATGCGATGATAAAAGAGGCACTAGAAAACATCGTGACATCTGCAAAGATCAGTGGAAAGAGGGTTAGAGGCAGACCAAGAAAGATGATGCTGGATGGGCTGAAATGATGGCATAGAGGGATATCATCAAGAGAGCTGTTCCAGGCAACCAATAATCGTGATCTGTGGAGATGCATCAGCGCCTACACCAGTTGGTAGGGCACATGTTGATGATGATGATGATAGCAAAACATTGTTCACTGATAGTAAGCTTGCCTGTTCAATGCCACTTTCTCTATTCTTAAGTATCATGTTCTCTAATGTGACTAACGACCTTCCATCAAATGTTATCAGATAATTATCTCAAATCTACTATGTACCTAGATACACTGGTGTATTTACCCCAGATTAACATTTATTTACCCAAACTTGAAATTAATAAAAGTATGGCTAGATAAATACTTTGTTTAAGCACAATCATCTGTGTGACTAAAAATAAATGTATTCAGTTTATGTTTTCTCTTTTTGATCTTTTTCTACAGTATGCACTCATGGCTGCACAGGGTCTTTTTGTGCCTGATTGTATGCAGGCAGCAATGAAATAATGTAGTACTGACATAATCTGTTCAGCGCTACTGCAACAAACACTTTGTGGTGTCTGCACTTTTTCAAACACTTTTGATTTTGAGCACTGGCACCTCCATTCCTCTAGGGTAAAAGCCATGAGTGCTAATTCGATTCCTGTGATTGTTTTTATTTCACGTCTGGAGTGAAGCCGAGGGACTAATCTACAAATATATTACTAACTATTACTATATACTATGTGGACTATGGGATGACTATCTAAGATTGCAGACCTGCACTACATAATTAAAATTTATTTAATAAATTACTGATACCATGACTCACAACAGTAATACTCGGCATACATACTAGATTATTTTCTCTTTAAAGTATCACAGTTAGATATTAAAAACAAATGAAATCAGAGCGGACTGACTGACAGTGACAAGAAGAAGAATGATGTCGGTCAACTCAGTCACTGTCAGATGTTGTCACCACTCGGCCACTAAACTGACACTACAATTGTACTTGCTATACAGTATAGTTTCCAAATAAACACAACTAAATATGAATTTGCTCACAGTAAATGCCAATTAATTATGTATTACAGCTGCAATCCCTCAAATAAATCAATACAATCCTTTGATAATGAACTGTAGTAAACTAGTAGTTAAGTCACGAACTGCTATTATATCCTCTCCCGACATGGCCATGACGAGCAGGCTGTGGCCAGATGGTTAGGCGCATTAGGGCCAAACTAAAAAGCAAGCAAAATTCTAGTTTATGTTTCTTCTTCTTTTGTCAAAATCTGATTGTGCCGCTAGGCGTCGCAGTCTATCAGATGATCGGCAACCGAGCCAGGGCGCGCTCAGTCGCTTCATATGCCGTGATGTTATGAAGTCTCAAGTTGTCCGTGACTCCTTCAATCCATTTTCTTCTTGGTCTTCCCCTGCCTCTTGGTGTTTCGATTTTCATGTTGTATGCTCTTGATGCTAGTTTATGTTTGCTGCTGTCGAATATTATCTTACTGATATTTATTTTTCTAACAATAACGTTTATTTATTATTGCCGACAGAAGATTGGAAAGCAGCTGTCGACAATATTAGCTCCACATCAGAAACCTAAGTGAGTTTGTTTATAAGGCCGTGAGCTATTCAATATGTAAATATTTAGCAGTATATTAAAGTAAGTAATGACAAACGTAGTAAGGAAGTAAGTTGTACCCCACCAGGACATCACACAGAGCGATAAACACCCAGTGACACAAAGCGCCACCATGCGGATGAGAATCAGCTGTGGAGAGGTCCTAGAAACCCCCGGTCAGCCGTTGGAGCCACATTTATGGCCCGGCTATATTAGGCCCCCGGCAACAGCCGAGGCGAGGCTTAGAAATAACACAAAATTGCATCCCTCACTGGGACGTTGCAATAGTTTAACTAAGTAATGTTTGAGAGCAAAAAAACTATATCCGTCATTAAATATAAGCATTGAGATTTTAATCACTGAATGTCCTCAGTCCCTTAGTGAAGTATATAATACTTTCAACAAGTTAGTCGAGGTTCCAACTTTACCGCAGATGCAGACTCATATAGCTCCGTTTCCTATGTCAGAGTAATTCCCACAAAATTTCCTTCGTTGTTCTATTAGAAAAACTAATAGGAAACATATGAGTCCTAGCAAAATCCTAAATCACGCACACGCAGAGTAAATGTATCAGGCA